ACCCAACGCTATGGGGCCGCCCCACAGCGCTATGGGGCCGATACCCAACGCTATGGGGCAGCCCCCCCTTATCCCATTAACCCCCCTATGGGTGCTATGGGGCCAACACCCAACGCTATGGGGCCGCCCCACAGCGCTATGGGGCAGCCCCCCCTTACCCCGTTTGCCCCCCAGGGCTCCGTGCAGCAGTGGGGCAGCAGTGGGGCTGCGGAGGGCGCTGAGGATCTGCAGCAGCGTGGGGTCGGGGAGGAGCCCTCGGCCACGGCTCTGAGCCTGCAAAAAATGGGCCAAAAAAAGCCAAAATTGGGCAAATCCTTCCTAATGGGGACCCTTTGGAGACCCGATCCCATAAGGGGAGACCCTAAAAATGCCGTCAATGGGGTTTTCTGTTGGGTCGGGAGGAGGAAAAGTCCCCACGTTTTGGAAGATTTACCTCCCGTTTCCTAATGAGAGACCCTAAAAATGCCATTATTGGGATTTTTGTGGGGTTGGGAGAAGGAAAATGCCAAATTCAGCCAGAATTCCCCAATTTTGGGATCCTTTGGAGCCCCATTCCCACCATCAGAGAACCTAAAAACGCCATCAATAAGATTCGGTTGGGCAGGCAGAAGAAGAAATCCCAAATTTTGGAGAAATTCTACCATTTTTGGGACCCATTGGAGCCCCATTCCCACCACCAGAGACCCCAGAGTTGCCATCAATGGGATTTTGTTGGTTGGGAGAAGGAAAACCCCCGAATTCAGCCACAACTCCCCAATTTGGGACCCTTTGGAGCCCCATTCCCGTTATCAGAGACTGCCAAGCTATCATTAATGGGATTTTGTTGGCTGGGAGAAGAAAAACCCCTAAATTCAGCCAGAATTCCCCAATTTTTGGCCCTTTGGAGCCCCATTCCCACCCCCAGAAATGCCATCAATTGGACACCGTTGGGTTGAAAAGAAGAAAAGCCCCAAATTCTGGTGAAATTATCCAATTTTGGGACTGTTGGAGCCCCATTCCCACAATCAGAGACTGCCAAGCTGCCATCAATGGGATTTTGTTGGTTGGGAGAAGGAAAACCCCCGAATTCAGCCACAATTCCCGAATTTGGGACCCTTCGGAGCCCCATTCCCGTTATCAGAGACTGCCAAGCTGCCATTAATGGGATTTTGTTGCTTGGGAGAAGAAAAACCCCCGAATTCAGCCAGAATTCCCCAATTTTTGGCCCATTGGAGCCCCATTCCCACCATCAGAGACTCCCAGAGTTGCCATCAATGGGATTTTGTTGGTTGGGAGAAAGAAAATCCCCAAATTCAGCCACAATTCCCCAATTTGGGACCCTTTGGAGCCCCATTCCCGTTATCAGAGACTGCCAAGCTGCCATCAATGGGATTTTGTTGGCTGGGAGAAGAAAAACCCCCAAATTCAGCCAGAATTCCCCAATTTTTGGCCCTTTGGAGCCCCATTCCCACCCCCAGAAATCCCAGAGATGCCATCAATTGGACACTGTTGGGTTGAAAGGAGGAAAAGCCCCAAATTCTGGTGAAATTATCCAATTTTGGGACCGTTGGAGCCCCATTCCCACCATCAGAAACTGCCAAGCCATCATTAATGGGATTCTGTTGGCTGGGAGAAGAAAAACCCCCAAATTCAGCCAGAATTCCCCAATTTTTGGCCCTTTGGAGCCCCATTCCCATTATCAGAGAGCCCAGAGATGCCATCAACAGGATTTTGTTGGCTGGGAGAAGGAAAACCCCTGAATTCAGCCACAATTCCCCAATTTTTGGCCCTTTGGAGCCCCATTCCCACCCCCTGCCCACCCTGCATTGCTTTCTATGTGCAGGGAGCGATGCTGACCCCGCAGCTCAGCCGTACCGCGGTGCGGACGGCGACGAGGGCGGGCAGCATTTTGTGCCCAGGCAGCCCAGGGGCACAGAAGGACACACAGACACGGCTGCCCCCGACGACAGCCCCGTCCATGGCGGCCTGAACGCGTTCAGCGGCGTCTGCGGAGTCGTATTCCAGCACGGCGAAACCCAGCGGCTGCCCATCCGGCCCAAAGGCCAACTGGGGGGCGTGGGGATCATAAAACACAACGTCTGCACCCAAAAACACCAACGTCCGCCCCCAAAAACACAACTTCTGTGCACAAAAACCCAAGTTCTGCACCCAAAAACAAAACTTGTGCGCCTAAAACCCCAATGTCCTCCCAAAAACCCAACGTCTTTGCCCAAAACCCAACGTCTTCGCCCAAAAATCCAACATCCACCCCCAAAAACCCAACTTGTGTGTCCAAAAACCCAACTTGTGCGCCCAAAAACCCAACATCTTCACCCAAAAACCCAACTTCTGCACCCAAAAACCCAACTTCTGCACCCAAAAACCCAATGTCCTCCCCAAAACCCAACGTCTTCGCCCCAAAACCCAACATCTTCGCCCCAAAACCCAACATCCACCCCCAAAAACCCAACGTCTTCACCCAAAAACCCAACATCCGCCCCCAATAACCCAACGTCTTCGTCCAAAAACCCAACATCTTTTTCAAAACCCAACATCTTTGCCCAAAAAACCAACGCCCACCCCCAAAAACCCAACGTCTTCACCCAAAACCCAACGTCTTCGCCCAAAACCCAACATCCACCCCCAAAATCCCAACTTGTGTGTCCAAAAACCCAACTTGTGTGCCCAAAAACCCCAATGTCCTCCCCAAAACCCAACGTCTTCACCCAAAACCCAACATCTTCGCCCAAAAACCCAACATCCGCCCCCAAAAACCCAACGTCTTCATCCAAAAACCCAACATCTTTGCCCAAAAAACCAATGCCCGCCCCCAAAAACCCAACGTCTTCACCCAAAAACCAACATCTGCCCCCAAAAACCCAACGTCTTCATCCAAAAACCCAACATCTTCTCCCGAAAACCCAACGTCTTCACCCAAAAACCCAACATCTTTTTCAAAACCCAACGTCTTCGCCCAAAAACCAACATCCGCCCCCAAAAACCCAACGTCTTTGCCCAAAAACCCAATGTCTTAGTCCAAAAACCCAACATCTTCACCCAAAAACCAACATCCGCCCCCAAAAACCCAACATCTTTTTCAAAACCCAACGTCTTTGCCCAAAACCCAATGTCTTCGCCCAAAAATCCAACATCCACCCCCAAAAACCCAACTTGTGCGCCCAAAAACCCAACTTGTGCGCCCAAAAACCCAACTTCTGCACCTAAAACCCCAATGTCCTCCCCAAAACCCAACGTCTTCACCCAAAACCCAACATCTTCGCCCAAAACCCAACATCTTTGCCCAAAAACCCAACGTCTTCGCCCAAAAACCCAACATCTTTTTCAAAACCCAACATTTTTGCCCAAAAAAACAATGCCCGCCCCCAAAAACCCAACGTCTTCATCCAAAAATCCAACATCTTTGCCCAAAAACCAACATCTGCCCCCAAAAACCCAACATCTTTCTCAAAACCCAACATCTTCACCCAAAAAAACAACATCTTCACCCAAAAACCCAACGTCTTTGCCCAAAAACCCAACGTCTTCGCCCAAAAACCCAACATCCACCCCCAAAAACCCAACATCCGCCCCCAAAAACCCAACATCCGCCCCCAAAAACCCAACATCCACCCCCAAAAACCCAACGTCTTCACCCAAAACCCAACATCTTTGCCCAAAAACCCAACGTCCACCCCAAAAACCCAACATCTTTTTCAAAACCCAATGTCTTTGCCCAAAAAACCAATGCCCGCCCCCAAAAACCCAAGGTCTTCACCCAAAACCCAACATCTGCCCCCAAAAACCCAACATCTTCACCCAAAAACCCAACGTCCGCCCCCAAAAACCCAACGTCCGCCCCCAAAAACCCAATGTCTTTGCCCAAAAAACCAATGCCCGTCCCCAAAAACCCAACATCTTTTTCAAAACCCAACATCTTCGCCCCAAAAACCCAACGTCCGCCCCAAAAACCCAATGTCTTCACCCAAAATCCCAACGTCTTCGCCCAAAAACCAAATGTCCCCCACGAAAACTCCAGCATCCGCCCCAAAAGCCAAATTTCTGCACCCAAAACCCAACGTCTTCATCTAAAATCCATCTTTACCCAAAAACCCAATGTCCACCCCAAAGACCAAACTTCTGCACCCGAAAACCCAACATCTTCCCCCCAAAAACCCAACGT